GGGTGGGTACGAGGTGTAGGGGGGTAGTGTGTAGGCTGGGGGGTAGGGTGGGGGGTAGGCCGTATAGGCATGGGCTGTCTGTGGGTAGTAGGGGCATGGGCCAAAAAGCCCGGGTGCAGGTGAAGGGGTCGGGAATTGCCAGGGTTGAAAGCTCGATGGGTGCCGGGAGTTGGAGCCGCTGCCACGACCGCGACCGCGGCCTCTGCCGCGATAGCCGCCGCTACCACCACGCGATTGTCCGCCGTAGCCGTCGCGTCCAGGAGGGGGACCGGGAATCTGCCGCTGCGCCTGTCCGTGCTGGCCGTGACCCTGGTCTGTCACTACCAGGGCCGTCGGCAGGTTGCCGCTGCCAAGGGCATCCGCCTGCTGTTGCTCGACTAATAGGAGGGCGGATCGGACCTCCAAGAAACTCGGGAATGGATTTTGATATTGTAGGAAGTGAACCTGTGCCCGAAGATCCTGCGGTAATCCTTGGAGAGCTTGGAGAACAAGGGCTTGTTCCGTGACGGGAGCATCAACATCATCTAGATAATCGGCAAGGTTTCGAAGAAGTTGACAATACTCCGTGATGCTACGTGTGCCTTTGACAGTGGTCCGAAACCGGTGCTCCAAATGCATCGCCCTCGCGTGCTTATTATCATGAAATAGATTGTAAATGGCCGTCCATAGAGCATGGGTCGTTGGATTGCGTGCAAGAATGAGATCGGAGACTTCGTCGGTGACGGTGGACAAAATCCACCCTTGAAGGAGAGCATCGAATTGATGCCATTCGGCGTCAGCAGCGGATTTGGGACGGATAGTACCGTCGAGATACCCAAAGAGGTTGAATCGAAGAACAAGGAGACGAAACAAACGGCTCCACTTTTTATAATTTGGTTCCGAGATGCTCAGTTGAATGGGGATGTGGAATTTGATGTTTGATATGGTTGTGAAAGCAAGATGAGGGGAGTTGAGGGAGGAGGTGTCGGAGGTGACGGCAGATTCGGCCATGGTGCCGGAGGGAGGCTGCCGTACAGAGAGAAAAAGAGAGAGAGATCGGCGGTGGGGAGGGGGCCGAACGTGAGAGGAGAGAAAACGGAGGCCGTGAGATTTAGGGCTCTGATACCATGTAGAAAGATTATTTTCCAATTGATTATCAAAGAGAGGGTACATGTGTATATATACAAGGGAGTTTCCTAGTTGGTGTAGGAAACAATAATGGTAACCTATACAATTAAAGTAACTACAATTATTAACAATATTAAATATAGTAGTAATATATTTAACAATTACTATCAAGTCCGGTAACCTCTTACCCAAAAAACAACACCAATGTACTATTTACACTCAAAGCTACCTCTCAGAACAGATTTGAAGGAAATTGGTGAAGGAATGAGGGAGATTGAGGTGGCTTATATGTGGACAGTAGGGAAGAAGAAGACACGACTCCTGTCACCATTCCATGTTTGTTCGGCATAGTGCAGCGAGCGGCAATGCGCTGCGAAATTTTACGTCTCTCCTGATTGGGACAAATTTTGGCCTAATCGGGTACACTTTTTGGTCCAACTTCCTCCCAATTAAATTACAATTGTACCATTACGATCAAATAGTCAAATTCTACACAACGGTATAATTTTCAAAATTATTTGACAAACTTTATAAATTATCTATTTTTTGATCTTTCTCAATACTTTATTAATTATCAATTAATTAATTCTGATAGGCCTATTTTTGGGCATCACATATAATCACTTTTTACAAAACATTTCACTATTAGTGTGGGTATTTCACAGTTCGTAAGTGTGGCTTATAAAGTGGAAATGAGTGTACCTGTACACTTAAACAAGTTATTAGTTCAAGTAAATTATTTGTTGACATTAAACCATGAAACAAAGCACTGGGTTGTGTCCCCTCCCCTGGCAGCAATGACATCGCCCCTCTTCAACCTCCGATCAACAACGATGACTCCTTAAGTGACTCCAACCGTGATGATCACTCCCCTTAAACATAAAGTTGTGTCTAAAACGAAACAATGATAGACTCACAAATAAAAAAGGTGGGAAAATCACAAGATTCACAAACTTACTATTTACAAATATAAATTTTTATTTTCTAATTATTTAATACAATTTTATCTTTTTATAAGACTCACAAATACAAGTAGTAAATTTATATATTTTAAAAGTTTTTGTTTATGACTCTGACAATTCTCTTTAAAACAAAACAGAATAAGCAATCAAACAAGTTCGCCTAAAAAATAGTCTTATTGGAAAGAAAGTAAAATACCAGTCCTAAGAGCACTTACAATGGGACAAGCTCTCATCGTTCCCCTCTTATTCTGTTTCTGGCCAAAACATCTGCAATGTTATCACATTCTCGCCCGGCCTCTCCTATATTTTAGAGTATTCATCATTTTAAAATAAAAACTTATATGAATAAAAATACATATAATTGAAATAAAAATACTAACAACGACATTCCTTATTTATAAAAAACAAAAAAAATATAATTAAAAATAAAAATTAAAAAATAATTTAGTCCTAGAATTAACTATTGTTGGGTGTCTAAATTTCTTCGCTCAAATCGTCTTCAAGGGTAGCATGGCTTCGTTCATCGCGCATAATAGCACCTCTAATTGCGAACTCTTGTAAATCGAGATGTGGCCCTTGTAACACCTCAAACAAACACTAAAAACGTTACTAAACTATTATTCAATTAGATAAATTTTTTTCTGAATAAAATAATTTATTTCTGGATATATGTCATAGAGACAAATCCAATATGCAGATTGAATGTGTGGGGTCTTCATTAGAGATCAGAGTAGAGATCTAAACTAAGATTTGTATGATTACTGTGAATTCTTAAATGGTTTATTGAAATAAATCATTAGATTAACTGATATGAATTGAATATGAGAATATTTTGAATAAAAGATTAATTAAATGAATTTTGACTCCTGTTTACTTTCATAATTAAACTACTTTATTTTATTCAATTAAATGGACTGTTGGACATTATTTTGCTTTTCTTATGCTTCCGCGATGTTTGGATTTATTTTATTACTCCGTTGAATTTTGGTTTAGATTAAACTCTTATGGACAAATTTTATAATTGATTTATTTGTTTATTTTAGAAAAGAAAATTTATGTATGCGAATACCAACTTAGTAACAACCCGGTTTGCTAACTTGTTGGTTCAGGTTACGCGAGTTGGGGTGTTACAATCCTTTTAGGCACATATCTGAATTTATGATCACTTGTAGTGCAATGGTGCCGGAAGGAGTCTCTCCAAACCAAATTAGACTTAGAGCCTTTCCTTTTTCCCTTTCCGATAAGGCCAAAGATTGGCTTTACTATATGCCAGCTGGATCTTTCACAACGTGGAACGACCTTCATAAAGCTTTTCTTGAAAAAATATTTCCGGCATCTAGGATTGGGTCGATTAGGAAAGAGATTTGTGGGGTTAAACAGTTGAATGGAGAGAACTTTTCGGATTATTGGGAGCGTTTTAATAAAGCTTGTTTGTTCATGTCCTCAACACCAAATAACCGAGCAGTTGTTAATCCAATATTTTTATGAAGGACTTTTGCCTACCGAGAGGGGCATTGTTGATGCCGCTAGCGGTGGTGCATTAGTGAACAAAACCCCTGCTCAAGTGAGGGAGCTTTTTAATACCATTGCTCAACATACCCAACAATTTGGAACTCGAGACACTGTCGTGAGGCCGGTTAGCGAGATAGGGAATTCATCTTCATTAGAATATAAGCTGTCTCCCTTATGGTGAGTTGGAAAAATCCCTTAAACTTAATTCTGGATTTATCAATTTACTTCCTAAGTTTCATGGTCTTCGTGGAGAGGATCCTTTTAGGGACATATCTGAATTTATGATCACTTGTGGTGCAATGGTGCCTGAAGGAGTCTCTCCTGACCAAATCAGACTTAGAGCCTTTCCTTTTTCCCTTTCCAATAAGGCCTAAGATTGGCTTTACTATATAGCTGGATCTTTCACAACGTGGAACGACCTTCATAAAGCTTTTCTTGAAAATTTTTTTCCAGCGTCTAGGATTGGGTTGATTAGGAAAGAGATTTGTGGGGTTAAACAATTGAATGTGGAGAACTTTTCTGAATATTAGGAGCGTTTTAATAAGCTTGTTTGTTCTTGTCCTCAACACCAAATAGCCGAGCAGTTGTTAATCCAATATTTTTATGAAGGACTTTTGCCTACCGAGAGGGGCATTGTTGATGCCGCTAGCGGTGGTGCATTAGTGAACAAAACCCCCGCTCAAGCGAGGGAGCTTTTTAATACCATTGTCCAAAATACCCAACAATTTGGAACTCGAGATACTGTCGTGAGGCCGGTTAGCGAGATAGGTAATTCGTCTTCTTTAGAATATAAGCTTTCTGCCTTAACTCATGCTATTTCAAAACTTGTTGTGGGTAATGTAGGGGGTAGTAAGGGTAAACCTTTTGGAGTGCGTTGCTTGGAAGGTCATCCCACTGATATGTGTCCAACACTCCAAAACAAAGCATTAACTTCAGGATTTTGGAGTGTTGGACACGCATCAGTGGGATGACTTTCCAAACAACACACTCCAAAAGGTTTACCCTTACTACCCCCTACATTACCCACAAACCAAAAGAAGTATGATCCTTTTTCTAACACTTATAACGAGGGTTGGAGAGATCATCCAAATCTGCGTTATGGTCCTTCGAGGGGTAATAATCTAAATTTTTCTAATAATCCACCTCCCCAACAAGATAGGGCAACCCAGATGTTAGAACAAGTGCTTAAAAAGATGGATGATAAATTTACTTCGGTTGACATAAGTTTTAAGCAACTTCTGGAAAGACAAACAGCCTCTAAAACTCTAATTAGCAATATGCAAGCTCAAATGAACAATAGGCTGCCTTCCCAACCCTTTCCCAACCCTAAAGAGAACCTTAATGCTATAGAGTTAAGGAATAAAAAGGTGCTCAAAGAACCTAAAAGCATTAGGGAAGAAGAAAAAGAGTTAGAAGTTGAACTTAGAAGTCCAAAACAGCCCTTAGAACCTGAAATTCAGCCTCTGACTCTGAAGACAAGCCTTTAGAACCTGCAACCAGCATCTTAGATGAGGATAATGAGGCTGAGAAATCCAAGGAAAAAGGAAAAACTGACCTTAGGGATAGAAATCCAGCCCTACCACACCCTAAGGCACCCTTCCCTAGCAAATTCCTTCAACCTAGAAAGCGTAAAGAAATTCATCTTGCACTTCTTGATACTTTTAAGAAGGTGGAGATTAATCTTCCTCTCTTAGAAGCTATTAAGCAAGTTCCTAAATATGCTAAGTTCCTCAAGGAGCTTTGCACCAACAAGAATAGGCTTACAGGGAATGAACGGGTAAGAATGGGCGAGAATGTTTCTGCAGTTTTTCAAAAGAAAATTCCTCCAAAATGTAAGGATCCTGGTGTTTTTACCAATCCTTGTCATATTGGTCATTTGCACTTTGATAGAGCCATGTTGGATTTAGGGTCTTCTATTAATGTAATGCCCAAAGACATTTTTGATAAGCTAAATATTGGGGAATTGAAACCGACAGGGGTAGTGATTCAATTAGCCGATAGGAGTTATACGTATCCCGAGGGTCCTCTTGAAGATATCTTGGTGAAAGTCAATGACTTAGTGTTTCTCGTTGATTTTTATGTGTTGAGCATGGGTACTGATACATGTGACATGCCCATTCTTCTTGGTAGAACTTTCATGAAAACTGCTAGAGCTAACATTGATGTTTATGACGGGGTTTTGTCGTTGGAATTTGATGGTGAAAAGATTGAATTTAACTTATCTTCTGCGATGAAAAGTCCCATTGACTCTGTGTGATGATGTGCTTGATTCTGTGTTGTGTAATAGCCTTGACAGTGTAGAACTTGAATGCTTAGAGTTCAGCCTTCCTAGTGAAGTTTTAAACTTAGTTGAATACCTTGCTGAGTTTGAAGAGCTAGAAAACCTTAGCCAACCAGTGTTTAGGGCTGAATTACTTGAGAACAGACCTAAGGTAGCTCCATCCTTAGTTTCTCCATCTAAACTTGAGCGTAAAGACCTGCCCGAAGATCTTAAGTATGCATTTTTAGGTCCAGACCAGTCCCTACCAGTGATTATTTCTAGTGTTTTGACCAAAAATCAGGAAGATAAACTCCTAAAAGTCCTGCAAGAGAATAGCCAAGCAATTAGTTGGACTTTGGCAGATT